CCCAGACGAAGGCAACAAGACCACAGCCTCCCCCTCACGCCGCATATATGTCACCTCAAGCAAAAGATGTTGTACATCAGTATCAGCCATTCCTTGTTCGATCTGCTCCCCAGGTCCCAGGTTCCTCCACATAGCAGAGTCCCAAACTAATAGCTGTAGTTTGTCACCGTGCTCCAATTGTAGGAGATCCCATGGCGGTACCTGGAGGTTGTTGTAGGTAATTCGCAGATCTGCAACTTATTTCGAAAGCACCTTCGAGAAACAACCTGCAGGAGAAAGGAGTCCTGAGTCAGTCCTGAGCAAGTCACGTAAACCAAGGAGTTCTGATATCTGCTGCCTCGACGTAGTGCTCTCACTTTCAATTGCCTTCATAACCGTTGGGGTGCCCATCTCCTCATACTTGATCACAACCAAACTTGGTAGTTGTGAGAGTGAAGGCCGATGGTCTGTGAGCAGCAAATGGATGTCATCCGCTCCTCCCTGTTGGTTTGGTGTCGGCTGAGGGTCTCTGTACCCCACAAAAGTACTGTGGTCAGGCAAAATGCTTTGAAAGCAGAGTCGTATGGCCAGTTCCAGATCATCTTCGTTCAGCCGTTCCGTCCACCTCAATGTGAAACTAGGCGGCTGATCAGAGCCAGGCTTGTGCACCACAAACTTCGGTGGCGAGCCACGGGATCTCAGGAGCATGTTGGCTTCCTGCTCGATGATTTCATAGTTCAAAAATCTGGTAGTACTAACTAACCATGAGAGCTTCCTTCCCCATGACTACAGGTGGAGGGTCTGCTGACAACGGCACATAGTGCAACCAGAATGGTAAATCAGGACTTTGCTGGAAGGAAGAGCTCACATCATCAGCCAGATCCCTTGAGGACAGCTCAGCTGACTTTTCAAGCGTTCTGATGTGGGGCCATCCCATCCAGATTTGGTAGCTTTGCTGTAAGGAGAGAGCATAGAGCTGTTGAAGGCAATCCGTCAGAAGGACTCGACAAAGGCTGCACACTGAGATCCCATCCGCATCCGAGATTGAAGATTCAGCAGAAGACCGTTGCTCCGGGAAACAAGCTGCATAGAGATGCGTCCCTTGCTCAATCAGCAAGGTATCACCAAATTCAGCGTGGACTGGGGCAACGACCTTGCACGGTTCCTCTGAACAAATGCAACCATGCGTGCCTCTGTCGAAAAGATCTTCGACACGCACCCTGGCCAGTTGCCCAACCTCAGCCTCTTCCAGAAAGCTCCCTTGCCAAGTCTGCCAATGGCGCCTGAAGCTCACAAAGAAGCTGAATCTATATGTGTGAGTATCCTCCCAGACGATGAAGTGCCTCAAACTGCCAGGTGAGGGGGCAGGCACAATCTCCACATGCTTCCCATAAGGAAAAAGGTCCCTCAGCCAGCTCCCCCCCCAGCAGGGGCCTGTCACGGAATCGTCTCAAGGAAACACGAAAGCTGTTCAGCTGCATCTGATGTCTCCAAAGGAAAGTATGCACACAAATCATAACGAAACCTCCTACACGATTCAAATCGAAGAAGTCGGCTTCTGAGATGGGCACCAAGGTCCCTTCCTCCTCTCTAGGGGGGAGCTCAGGATCAACCAAGATTCCAGCTGTCTGCATAAAAAAATGTCTCATCAAAGCCAATGGAGGATGCGTCAGGGATTATCCAACTATCAAGCTTTGCAGAAACACATTTCAATGTACTCGTGGAAGTACCGTGGAAAAAGTCATCCCACGAAGCACCATGCGGTGAGACACCCTCAGCAGCACACTGCTGAGCAGCTCCTTCAACACCAGACCAAAGAGTCAAATAGACCAAGAAACAAGAGATGCCTTGCCTCTTTTGCATCAATCTTGACTTCCTCTCACAGCGGAGAGCCCGTGGTCGATGGGCAGGCTTGCCCTTCCAGATCACGATGAAGGCCGCACATCCAGCAAGGAGCCCCAACTCTAAGAGCAAAAGCGTACATTGAACAGCCAGCAACTGGAGACCCAGACAAATCAGGTCCCCAAACTCATGCAAGCTGGTCATCCAGAGAAGTGGCAAGCTGCTGGTACGAAAGCATCGAATTCGAGAAAAAACCCATGAGAAGTCAGCCCAAAGTACGTGGAACTTCAAACAAGGCGCCAACTCAGGGGATCTAGTACTGAATAAGGGAGAACGCCCCTCCCCAACAACATAAAATCTTTCATAAAAGCACAGAGGCCTAGGCCGCCGTTCCCCAGCTTCCTTCGCCTCCTCCTTGTTCTTCTTGTCTTCTGCCTTGGACTTCAGCTGGGCTTGACGGACTTGTTTGGGTGACCCAGGCTTGGCCACCAATCCTGCAGAATTCCTGCGCCTCGAAAAGGCCTTGACATCCGGAAGCTCCTTTGGAGTATGTCTGTCTGTGTCTCCAGCTTCGTCTTCCATACCTTCTGGGATTCTTCTGTCGAAACATCGGTCCGTAGAGAATCCACGACCTGCTTCACCTCTTGTCTCACAAAGGCCAGGTGGTCTTGGGCCTCCTTGAGCTCTGTCTGCTTCTTGGCACGAGCATCCTGGTAGGCCACAAACCTGTCTTGCAGGGACTTCTTGGCCTTGCTGACGAAAGTCCTCCACCCACTGTCCTCGTCTTGTAGGGCTTTCTTGCAGGCATCCACCTGCTTCTGTGCACGCCCCATCTTGGACAAGTGTCCGTGGGTGAGCCTCGGACTCGATTCCTGCTGCTGCTCCAGCTGGTCGATCGCTCTGATCACACTGTTGGCTCCCGTGCCAAAATGCTGCTTCAAAGCGTCCAGGTGCATCTGAATACCAGTATTGGCGGCCGTCGCAGGACAGCCTGAGTAGGCGTAGTTGACCGCATGCGCCCCTTCGGAGTGGTGTTCGGCCAAGGTTCGCCTGTAGCTTCCTTGGCATTGGACTTGGTGGCTGGCGGGAAGGGATCCTGCTCCTCTGGCCGCTGTCTGGATTTGGATCTCGTCTTCTCGCGCTTCCAGCTCACCTGGCTGTAGTGATAGCCACACCCTCCGCAGTACTCTGCTTTTGGAGCGTTCACGTGCAGGCAACCGCACACCCACCTCGATGGCATATTCAGAATTCTTTGCACCCTGGCTGTAAGGGAACTCCCGTGGTGGAAGAGAAGCCTTTGTGCTGCTTTCCAGGTAGCCTTGTTCGGCTTCCCACCTTGACAGAGAAGGGGCGCCCTCGCCCTTGCTCGACCTCAACGGAGCCTCCGGTGCCACCTAGGTTCTTTTCGCACCGTCAGAACAGAGAAAAAGCAGACCAAAAAAGATCCTCGATAGTCGAACGCCACCGACCATGCGCGGCCGGTGCGTCCTAAGGCACACTGTCCTAAACCTGTCGGATAGGGGGGACTACCCGACAGGTCCCAGAGCCTTTGCACACACACAGGCACACAAAAAAAAAAGAACACACACGCTCCTTCAGCGGGCACCAGAAGCTCATTCAATTGAAAATCCCAGGCCGAATCGTGCTTGGAAAAACGGTTGGTCAGAGCACCTCCGTTATCATTTTTGGGGATCAATGTGAAATGCCAGGCCACCAAACTATGACAATGTTCTGGCACAGCTCAGCCACGCGCGTGTTCAGTTGGCATCTTCTCGTCTACTTCGTAGATTCTGAGCCAAACTAGCAAGAATGGATGAGCACGGCTAAGCGAAACCAGTGGCGCATCGAGAACAACAGGTTTTTTGCACTATATAACATACTTCCATACACTACCGAAAGACAAAATGGCACAGAAACAAAGCTCCCCACTTTGCTCATCCTCCTCGTGATAACTCTTAGAACCGAGTGGACGCCTTGAAAACTGTGAGAAGACCCGAAGAGGTCAACGCTTTTGGACATAAGACCCACTTACCTTCAGAACACCTCCTATGTTCCACATGGGCAATACAGCAGCGCTCTCACCCAAGTCGCGCTCTCCCGCTTCTTTCCATCGCGTCTGTCCAGTCAAACACCTGACTGACGGTGCTCAACACGTCTATCTACACGTCGATCGCTCCGAATGATCTCGGTTCCGCGAAAGAAAAGGTGGAGAATTGGCGAAAAGAAAAAGGAAGAAGACCAACACCAACATAAAAGAAACACGTTCCATGTGTGTTTAAATGACCATCACAAACCCCCGTTTTCTATATGTTCTTCTATTCTTGTTTAAATTAAGAAACCCCAACCGTCATGGACGACCTGTTTGTTCCCAAAACGGACATGGGACACAAACCGTCACATCATGGGACTCCACGGAACTGGGTACCCATCGGCGATCGCTCTCGGATCGGTCACAGCCGTCCATGCTTTGGGGACGTCGAGCATCCAAAACACGTGGGAACAGCTCTGTGTGTCTTAACAACCCAGCCGTCCTGCCAAGTGGGGAACAGCTCACTGTGCGAATGGACATTCGTGACATCGTCTCAGGCACCGCACCCATCGGCATGGAATCTTTGTGCAGCAACCTTGTATCTGTACAGTTTGACCCGCAATGGTGCTGAAGTGCGCCGCAGCAACCCGCGAGCAGCTACCCGCGCAAGCAGCAAGCAGCTATCCTTTGATTCAACCTTTGAGGTTGAGCCAGGTCCAAGTCGCGGCCAAAGATTCTGTGAAAGGGATTGGCTACACTTGCAAAACACGCAGCTAGCTGCCGCTAGTTGCTGTCTTGTGGGGGATGCTGCAATGTTCGAAAATGACTTCGTTTGCGTTGCATCATGTTGCAGTATTCGAGAAAAGTACTTATAATCCAATCAACTCCTTTGACAGTGGTCCGTCATGACTGCGCAACAACAGGCATTAATTACTCATACAGAAGTGTGACCATCTTATGATCCAACCGCAAAGGCCTTTAAGTACACCAAGAGGCAAAAATAGCAAAACAAATTTACATACATAAAACCCAGGAAGACTCAGACTCTTAAAAACGCTAAACCCATCAAATCCAATGACCATACCTCACAGTCATGCTTCTTGTCCAGAGCATGTGTTCTTTTCAGGAGTGTTTGGTTTCACAGACGTATGCCATCACCATCTGAGATCTCGCACAGAACCCTTTCCATCTGGCTTCTTCGCATTACAGTCATCGGCTCGGGCTGATCGGCGATCGCAATCAGCGGTGCTTCTCACCTGACCGAAGTTCCAAACGTGTCGACACGAGGCATGTCCAGGACACTTTGACGCTTCGGACGGTGACGATACCTATAGTCTTACCAACAAGGTTTCAACGATTTTTTGGATCGAAGAACGTCGCGAGTCTTACGCCCTCTTCGCCCGTGTCACGTTCCCCCCGCCTCTGCAGCAGTGAATCCAGCATTGGGGGCTGATTTGGTGGCTGGTTTGGCTCATTCCGTGACTCCTCGCCATGGCTGAGAGCTCCATGGTGCTGAAAATGCCCTTGCCATGTCTTGTACTCACAGAAAAACCAGCGACAGTGGCGGTCCTTCATGAGGATACTTCCTGCCTGCGGCAGCGCCTGCCGCCTTCTCACTCGCAGCCTCGAGAGCCGTCAACAGTCTGCTAGGCAAGCAAGAAACATGGCCAAGACATGCCAAGACCAATCAAGTTCAAAGCAAGGAAATCAAAGGAAATCATCGGAAAAACCCAATGCAGCTAATGCCTGAATTGGCAGCTCTCGACCGATGTGTTTCAATGCAAAGGTTGTCTGAGTTCTGAACACATCTGTAGGCCTCTGCAACAGAAGTCTGGTCTGATGACAAATGATCAAAGCATATCCAAAGACCAGCTCGGGCTGCAGATACATGAGCATGAGTCACAAGAATCTACAGTGCAACTTGATGCTTGGTGTGTTGGGCTTTGAGACAGTGTATGGCTGAAAACGCCATAGTCCCTCTCTGCCAGCAAATGTTTCTCATTCCCTGCCTATCACTCTGAGTCTTGTGTCGCTGAGACCTTGGGAAGCAAGGTGTTGAAACGGAATTGGATGGTTCTTACTATGGAATGAGGGAATGGGAATGAGCCCCCAGTATAGATTCCTTTGGATACAGCCCTCATTCGTTCGTTGCACCAGTCAGTGCTTGAACTCATATGGTTCTGACTCCACAGCAGTCACCTGAATCTGCACGGGTTACGAAGTGGATGTTCCAGCTTTCCAGGGGTCGGGCCATGAGGGGCCTCTGTTTTTGATTGGACCAAAGCCGCGAACCCAGTGTGAGGACAAATAGAACACGTTTTGATTGTACAAAAAAGGATTGAATTTGAACTGTCTTCTTTCAAAGGCACATACAGTGATATACAATGATACACGACTCAAATCAGTTGTGTCTATCGGTGTCTTAAACGTGTCGTTGAGACGGAGTGGTTCAACCGGGGTTGCTACAGCTACTCAATCAGTTCCTCCTCAGGGTCCTTAAGGAGGCGTGTCTTGCTCTGAAGGAAGCCTAGCTGCTGCTTCCTTAGGCCGTGGCGTCTCGGGGGTCGCTGGCGGCGTCGGGCGTATCGGGGGTCGCTCCGGAGTGGCGAGAGAGAACGACCAACGGGCAGTGTCCCAGCTGAAAGTCAGGGTCGAACTGCGCAGCTCTTCAATTCACTGAAGAGATCCCAAAAAGGTCAACCTGGAACGAGAGAGTACACGAGAGAGTACTACGACCAGGGAATTCCATTGGGCAGCACAACCCCCAAGCACCCCTGCGGCTTGGATGACTGTCCCTCCGGTGGCTTCTTCGCCTTGGCCGGAGGATGTGTTCGTTCCACCGATGGCGGCTTGATTTCGGCGTTTCGAAGCGTGGCAGGTCGAGAAACGACAACCAAACCTGCAACTGCAAAGTTCTTGAAGCATCTTTAAGCCACAACTAGTTCAGAGCTTCACTTTGATAAAACCACGGCTAGTTCAGAGCTTAACTTTGATGGTCTTTCTGTCTTTCTTGTATTTCATGCCGGAGCTTTGACGTTCTTTCTGGAAGTATTCTTGAAATCTTACCATTATATATATATATATGGCTTTCCTTTTGGGAACGGAGTCAAGTGATTGGGCAGTCCTGCCACGGCAATTCCATAGTAATTCCACGCAATTGATGGCTGTACCGTACACTCCAATTCACTAAGATGGAAGCGGAAAACCACGTGTTTTGTAGACACGACGTCTACTTCCATGTCAGTGAGCCAGAATGTAATCACACACCAAAAAAAGGACGCGACTTTCCAGCTTGTTCAATTCAAGAGACCAACATCTCTTACTGGCTGCTGTCAAGCCACTTCCGCCGCAGGTGGTGCGGCTTTTGATGAGCTTCGCGTCCTTTGCCAAGCATCCTTAGCCACCCCCCAAAAAAGGAAACGGGAACGAATCAGCAAACCTGTGGCGATGTCCAAAGGCGATGTCCAATTCTTTAAGATTGTAGATCGCTATACCCGTTGAAAAATGCCAAAATCGTTGAAGATCGTAGATCTTATCTAACGGGTAGATCGTTTCAAACGACCAATTTCTCACCCCTTGAGCTCTCAACTGCTCGACTAGAAGGGGCTTCGGAACTAGCTGGAGCTGGTTCCCAAAGCGTTTGGAGCACTCGGAACGGTTGGGAGTCGGTTCAAAGCTCTGGTTTCAGAGGTGAAAGTCTTGAGTCCTTGGTGAAACCTGGTTGGAAGTCTTGCCTCCCAGTGGTTCCTTCGATTCGTGAAGCGGCTGAAATAAAATTTGAAGCTTCGGATGTGAAACCGGAAAACTGTATCTCCCAGTAGTGGAAAGTGGCTCCAACCAGTAATGGAAAGAAACTAGACTAGCTCATTGTGAAAAAGCTCCCCAGGTAGACTCTAGACTTCCATTCCATTCGTGGTATCAAATGGGAACCCCGAGGGGCCCTCGACTCACGACTGCAGATGCTGCCGGTTCTACGCACGTTCTACGCGGACGACCGAGGCTCAAGAAGCTGCCGCACGTGGTCCATGTCTAAAGCCCCACCGCCCGCACGAGGCACCTGCGGGATGACTTGAGGGGACTGCCTCTCACAGACCACCCCTTTCCAAGTAGGTGAGATGAATGCTGGAATATGATGGAATAATCCTGGAAGCCAGAAAAACGCATTGCAGCACTTTTTTACGATGTCAAACGATTCGTCCCAGGTACAGATCATGTCAAATTATGTCAAATCAATGAAGCCTGATCAGGAATACACCGCAAGAAACTTTGCTGTGGAGGCCCAACACAGAGAGAGAGAGAGAGAACATTCAAAAAACATGTGCACCTTCTGTATCTCCTCCAATAGATGCTGAATGCAGGGAGAGGCCGAATCCCCCAGTTTCCGCTGTTGCGCTCGTCTCCAAGTTTCGCAAATCTGCCTCGGAAGAGGTCGGAACAAACACAGTGACCGTCTGCACGCGAAACAAGGAGGGCACGCAGTGTTACAATTGAGTGATCGGCCTTTCCTATTGCCTGTAACAGTGGATGGTGATGGTTAGTAAAGGCCTTGTTCAAAAATAGATTGTTTGCTGACTGTTACAGGCAATAGGACAAACCCAATATAATAAAACTACCATAAACTCAAGGATCTCAGCAAGGCTTGTTGCCGCAACACCATCTTCACCAACAACCGCCATAGATCTTGCAAAAACATGACATAAGAATTGCCTTCTTGTAATGACCACTCTACAGTAGCTTCAACTTGAGTTGGCCTTTCGCCTTTCTCGATCTCTCTCCATTTCTCCTTTCCTTCACGCCTTTGAGCTCTCACAAAAAGTAAATAAGCACTCCAAAGAAGCTGGATATGACGACTTTTAGGCACGAGCGACCCCGGCGAAAAGCCCGGTGGCCGCCCTGGGGCGCAAGCCGCGCAAGCGCTGAAATCCGTCTGAGCGACGCCATCTCGGGTTGCAAGTCCACACCGGGGCGAGCCCAGCTGTCCAAGAAGAGCGAGTCCAACTCGCGGAAGAGGGACTCGGCAGCGAGGCCCACCTGGAAGCGATGCTGAAGAACTGTGAAAAAGCCTTCCGGGGGAGGAGTTGAGCACATCTGAGCACCTTCTTCAAAGCACGAAAGCAGCAGTTTCCTCCTTGAAGTACTTTTTTTTCAGCTGCATCAGTCCGATCCCACTACGGATCCTTGAGTCGAGACACTCAACACTCTGAGTCGAAAGCCACACACTGACTGAGTCGACGGTGATTTGGGTTGGAGCTCGGAAACCCAAAGCTTGAGTTTAAGGAAAAAGAGTATGGAACACATCTCCAAACAAACACATGACACCTGCTCACACGCAGCCCATGCACGCAAATGAAAAGGCATTCTCAATGCACCGTACCCTACCTTCCGTTTCCAATCATCCGAGACTTCCCTTGCAGGCTTCTTGACCTCCAGAACGTCAGCCACGGGACCTGAGTCAACGTGAGAAGCAGTCACTGAGACGAAGACGTGAGTCACATGTTGCAAATGCTGTTCGATATAGGGACCAGGCTCTTCTTTGGCGTCAGAGTTTTCATTTTTGCAGGCTTGTCGGGCACCTGTGCAAATGGGCTGCAAAGAACAAGGATCTCTGGCAGTGTCTATCTCCAGCCTCATGTGTCTGGCTTGTTGATATGGCAATGGGTGCACCACAATGCAAGCGCCACATCTCCTTGCACGCAAGAAGGCGCTACAGTAAGTACAATCTTACAAATCGTATCAAATCGTCTGATTCTGCTGAGGATCAGCGATCTGCGGCTGCAGTTTCCAGATGTTGGCCTGCCCTTGTATACGGCCATCCGTAGTCCCTGCTTCTGCATGAAGAACCTGCATGGCTAAGAAGCTGTCAAAATCTGTCAAAGCTCTCACAAGTTATCCTGAATTCACCTCGCAAACATTTCACAGCCACGCCTTCTGAAGCTCATCCAGCACACTTTGAAGCCACATGGCCATGTGGGGTGACTCATGTTCCCCACTGTTGAGCTGCTTCCGCTTCCACATGTCACAAACGTCCCTAGGCAGGCAACACAGATTCGAGGCTATAGATCGAGGCAATGCCGTAATGCCATTGGTCAAAGCTTAATTGCTATGAGGCACGTGATCTCAGGTTGAAGATCAACACCAGGACGTGCCCAGCTGTCAAAGAACAGCAAATCCAGATCCCGAAACAAAGAATCTGCATCGCTCAACACCTGCCGAAAAGAGCCCGTCTTGACAGTCAAATCTGAAAGCAATCGGCATTCTCAATGCACCGTACCCTACCTTCCGTTTCCAATCATCCGAGACTTCCCTTGCAGGCTTCTCGACCTCTAGCACGTCAGCCACGGGACCTGAGTCAACGTGAGAAGCAGTCACTGAGACGAACACGTGAGTCACATGTCGCAAATGCTGTTCGATATAGGGACCAGGCTCTTCTTTGGCGTCAGAGTGTTCATTTTTGCAGGCTTGTCGGGCACCTGTGCAAATGGGCTGCAAAGAACAAGGATCTCTGGCAGTGTCTATCTCCAGCCTCATGTGTCTGGCTTGTTGATATGGCAATGGGTGCACCACAATGTAAGCGCCACATCTCCTTGCACGCAAGAAGGCGCTACAGTAAGTACAATCTTACAAATCGTATCAAATCGTCTGATTCTGCTGAGGATCAGCGATCTGCGGCTGCAGTTTCCAGATGTTGGCCTGCCCTTGTATACGGCCATCCGTAGTCCCTGCTTCTGCATGAAGAACCTGCATGGCTAAGAAGCTGTCAAAATCTGTCAAAGCTCTCACAAGTTATCCTGAATTTACCTCGCAAACATTTCACAGCCACGCCTTCTGAAGCTCATCCAGCACACTTTGAAGCCACATGGCCATGTGGGGTGACTCATGTTCCCCACTGTTGAGCTGCTTCCGCTTCCACGTGTCACAAACGTCCCTAGGCAGGCAACACAGATTCGAGGCTATAGATCGAGGCAATGCCGTAATGCCATTGGTCAAAGCTCAATTGCTATGAGGCACGTGATCTCAGGTTGAAGATCAACACCAGGACGTGCCCAGCTGTCAAAGAACAGCACATCCAGATCCCGGAACAAAGAATCTGCATCGCTCAACACCTGCCGAAAAGAGCCCCGTCTTGACAGTCAAATCTGAAAGCAATCGGCATTCTCAACGCACCGTACCCTACCTTCCGTTTCCAATCATCCGAGACTTCCCTTGCAGGCTTCTCGACCTCTAGCACGTCAGCCACGGGACCTGAGTCAACGTGAGAAGCAGTCACTGAGACGAACACGTGAGTCACATGTCGCAAATGCTGTTCGATATAGGGACCAGGCTCTTCTTTGGCGTCAGAGTTTTCATTTTTGCAGGCTTGTCGGGCACCTGTGCAAATGGGCTGCAAAGAACAAGGATCTCTGGCAGTGTCTATCTCCAGCCTCATGTGTCTGGCTTGTTGATATGGCAATGGGTGCACCACAATGCAAGCGCCACATCTCCTTGCACGCAAGAAGGCACTAGTCACTACAGTAAGTACAATCTTACAAATCGTATCAAATCGTCTGATTCTGCTGAGGATCAGCGATCTGCGGCTGCAGTTTCCAGATGTTGGCCTGCCCTTGTATACGGCCATCCGTAGTCCCTGCTTCTGCATGAAGAACCTGCATGGCTAAGAAGCTGTCAAAATCTGTCAAAGCTCTCACAAGTTGTCCTGAATTTACCTCGCAAACATTTCACAGCCACGCCTTCTGAAGCTCATCCAGCACACTTTGAAGCCACATGGCCATGTGGGGTGACTCATGTTCCCCACTGTTGAGCTGCTTCCGCTTCCACGTGTCACAAACGTCCCTAGGCAGGCAACACAGATTCGAGGCTATAGATCGAGGCAATGCCGTAATGCCATTGGTCAAAGCTTAATTGCTATGAGGCACGTGATCTCAGGTTGAAGATCAACACCAGGACGTGCCCAGCTGTCAAAGAACAGCACATCCAGATCCCGGAACAAAGAATCTGCATCGCTCAACACCTGCCAAAAAGAGCCCATCTTGACAGTCAAATCTGAAAGCAATCGGCATTCTCAATGCACCGTACCCTACCTTCTGTTTCCAATCATCCGAGACTTCCCTTGCAGGCTTCTCGACCTCTAGCATGTCAGCTTCGGAACCTGTGGCCACAAAATAAACATGCTGACTATCTAAGAATCTAATGGAGTTGTGTCATGTTGAAGTGTGTGGTCACTGGTCGGCATGTGGCAAATGCCGCTGGATAGGGACCAGGCTCTGCTCTTGCGTCATAGCTTTCTCTGTTGCATGGTCGAGTACCTAGCACTTGGACTGCAAAGAACAGGGTTCTTTGGCAGTGATAATCTCCAGGGAAACATGGAATTCTCACACTTGTTGTACTTGATTCTGATAGAAAACTACTAGTGAAACTTGGAAGTACCACGTTTGCCTTTGCGCTGTCGATTTACCTTCACCGGGCTGCAACATCCTGAGCAAATCAACTGGTCCTTCCTGCCTGTTTGTCAATGCTCAATTCTTCTCGCTTGGCACTGGCACTGAAAGGGAATCCACCAAATTGGTTCAAACCTGTGACACGTCAGCATCCCAACTCTTCGAAACAAAAGTGTGCCGTTTGTTCGTTTCAAACCCCACCAAAGCTGTCTGCTTGCTAATTACTGTACTTGAATGTGCAAGCGGCTTGTGAGCAATCAAGTGAGCAAACATTCAAACGTCCAATCTTGTTGGTGTCAAGAACACACCTGTTCATTTTGTTACGTGTATTTTTTGTTTCTTAGGGTTCAGGAAAGAACACACCTGTTTCTTTTCAAGAACAAGAAAACCAAAACGATTTCGGGGCCTTCAGTCGCATCTGGTGATTCATCACCTTCGTTCGCTACCATTACTTCCTGGCGACAGCAAAGCTACGGCAAGACGATGACCACTTCCTGCAGCCTCTTGCAACGTATCATGTGGAAAATGTGACGAACCAGCTACGTACTCGCTAATATAAAAGCATGGCATAGTCCGGAGTATTCCTTATTCCATAGTTATAGAGAACTCGTGAGAGGAGTTTAAGCGTCATCTTGCTATAAACCCGGTCACTTGCGCTATTGAACATGTAAAACGTCACATCTATCAAGGATGTTCAGGCATTTTGCTTCCTGTTGCGGGGAAATCTCCAAACATCCTGGGTTCTTGCCACATCAATTGGCAAGGCCATGGGCATCAGCGGCATCAACTTTCAATTTGAAGATAATATAAATATAAATATCACAGGAGTTGTCGCTGGAACTCAGTCACTCATTGTATTGGAACATGAATCTGAATGTCTCGGCAAACGCCCATCCTCTTCATATCTCAGCAACGAGCGCAGCAACGAAGCGACTCTTCCACCTGCGGCCCTTCGTGAGGAGACCACCAACTAAAGGGGTGGAACCTCAAGGGGTCTCCGTATTTGAAGACACATCCAAATGTGCTTCTGTTAGACCTCCCGTGAAGGATCCAGCCCAAGCTGATTCTCGGATCGGTCATCTGAAAGCGCGCCCCAGCTGCTTGTCTGCCTGAGCTTCTTCTGTCCCGGCATTCTCTCCTGAAAGGAGCACACTCCCGCCGAAGACTCATGCCACACCGATGAAAACGCTCTCCTTTCAGACTCAGCAAGGGCCAAACGTTCTAAAATTAGCCTCAACTCACGAACGCTCCGTCTTGAACTCAAGGACGACTTGAACAATCACGCCTCCATCATCCTCTGATAACCTCTCCAGCTCAACATCTTCTTCAACTTCCTCCACACAAGAGGATGCATGCCAACTACCTCCTACCTTGAGTAGGTTCCAAACATATGCACACATGTCAATGTGAACACACAAAAGTGAAATCATCCGCCAAATCAATTGAACAAATATATGGAGACCAAATAACGCATACATGTGCACTATGTGGAAAAATAAACATAAGAATCAGCTTCATCTTGCCACAGAATATGCTACAGCTGCTACAGCTGCATTTAATTCAAAACATGACTAAGTGGCGTCAACACGTATGACATCAGCAACAGCATGACATCCGGTTCAGTTTAGCTCTTTTATTGAAAGCAGCTACGGTTTTTGGTCGTTCCATCCCAACCTGCTTGCTTTCCAGAAATTCTTCCGAATTCTCTCCTGCTGAAAAGTCCGTAGCTTTGAATTGCGAGTCACACCCACACTTTCAGCCGTAATCCCAGAAACCCTCTAAATTCAATGTGCAGCGAGCATTGATTCAAAATCACGAAGAAACACGTATATAATGAAGTGTTAACGGTTTCCAATCAGGCCTTCGTCATCATCTGACCCTTCCTCCTCAATATCTTCCGCAACTTCCTACAAAACCAGGTGAGGAAGCAGGCATATGGGTTAAACGTACAAAAATATCCAACTGAATACAATCCGCAGCAACATGCCCACTTAAACACACAGGCCAAAGGATGCATCTTGTAACAGCAAAACCCGTCAAGTGCCCCGATTGAGCAAGTGGTTCTTTGGGCCGCATGCTGTACAAAGCGAAGATCAAGCGTAGGCTTCGTCTTGCCATTCAAACATGCGGATATGCATGATGCCACAGCACCCATGAATGAATGCGCATCAAAACAAAAACAAGTGCAAAGTCCAGTGTAGCCCTGCAAATTTGAAAAAAATGTGAAATCTATGGTTCCGTTGAGCTCTCTTGACAAAATAGGTGGTGTCCCAACCTGCTTGTCTTCCTGAACTTCTTCCACGGAATTCTCTCCTGAGAAAAAGCGCAATCGATTGCAGTAGCTTTAAATTCCGATTCGCGCCAGTCACATCCGAACATTGCAGAGCTTTACTCCGAAGTCCTCTAGACTCTAGTTCAACATACAATCTGAATTTGGCCAGAAGGCACACTCTTCTACCCAAGAACGATTTCCCACTCAGGCCTTTGTCATCATCTGACCCTTCCTCCTCGATATCTTCTGCAACTTCCTACACGCCAGGTGAGGAAGCAGGCATATGATAGGTGAAAAGTATAAAAGTGTCAAACTGAATACAATCCGCAGCAGCATGCCCACGATGCATCTTGTAACAGCAAAACCCGTCAAGTGCCCGGACTGAGCAAATGTAATATTTGGGCCACATGCTGAACGAAACGAAGATGGAGCGTAGGCTTCGTCTTGCCATTCAAATATGTGGATATGCGTGATGCCGGGGTCACAGCTGCAGTGAATGCGCATCAAAACATGACAAGTGCCAAGTCCAGTGTAGCCCTGCAAATTTGAAAAACATATGAAATCTACGGTTCGGTTCAGCTCTCTTGAAGAAATTGGTGGTGTCCCAACCTGCTTGTCTTCCTGAACTTCTTCCACGGAATTCTCTCCTGAGGCAAAATCTATTTGATTGCACTAGCTCTGAATTGCGATTCGCACCGGCCATACCCAAACATGGCAAAACTTTACGCAAAAGTTATCTAGTGACGAAACAATTCGATACATACAACTTGAACTTGACGAAAAAGCACACTCTTCTAGCTACAAACGATTTCCAACTCAGGCCTTCGTCATCATCTGACCTTCCCTCCTTGATATCTGTTGCAACTTCCTACACGCCAGAAACAGTTCTGCGATGCGATCTGCATAATATGTGTCCAATGTGTCCAATGGGAACATGCCCAACTGAAATGCAGGCTCAAGGATGCATCATGGACCAGCAACATTCATCGAGTAACCATCTTGAGATTTACACCGGCATAGACCCCAAATACAAAGTAGCTCTAAAAGCACAGGCCGACAAGCGGGGAGACATTCCAGTGGGTGTGGAAACTACACGAAACTGCAGCTTAGGGACCTTGCGCGCAGAACTAAATGGGCTAAGGTTGTGGCGAAACTGCCATCTAGGACCCTCGTTGGGGAGATAAGTAAGGAGACAAGGCAGCAGCGGCGAACAAAACAAGCAAGGCTAGGGAACAAGGCAACAGCAAACAAAACGCCACTCGCGCAGGCAAACAAGTGGGGAGACAAGGCCAGCACCGGAGGCAGCACCGGCGCCTGTTGACCAAAACACGGATCAGCCACCCAGTCATTGAGAAAAAAAAAAAAAACTACATCTGTCAGCTATCTGGGGAAATATACTATGCAGCATAGTCTATGCTCTATGATCTGTAAAACTACCAAACAAACAAAAACACTCAACTCTGATCCCGCATGCGACAAAAAGCCTCCGCCTCCCATCCGATGCGAGAACACAGATGCACAAGACCTGGTAGTTTCAGAGGGTTTTGCAGAGCACTATAAGGCGCTAACCCTTTGCTGACTGGTGCGACTCGCAGGGAATGAGGGAATGAATCCAATAGAATCTCTATTGGGGGCTCATTCCCTTATTCCCTACTAAGCACCAGTCAGTTTATGGCTTCTGTTGGGTCCCTTCATAGAGTAGCGCAATCCAGTCGCAGTTTGCCGCGTCCAGGAGTTTTCCCCGAGGCCGGCGGACCAGGAAAGGGACCAGGGGACCAAGGGACTAGGGGACCTACTCAGTTTTGTTCTAGCGGTGTCTTTTTTGATCCTGTTCATATTCCTCTTGATCCTAGTTATTGTCATTTTTACTGACCTAGATGCCCTCCCGACCTGCTTGTCTTCCTGAACTTCTTCAACAGAATTCTCTCCTGAGGTAAACGCAGTAGATTGCAGTAGCTCTGAATTGCGATTCACACCAGTCACACCCAAACATTGCAGAGCTTTACTCAAATAGCCTCTACTTCAACATGACTTGACAAGAAACTACACTATTCTAGCTAAAAACAATTTCCAACTCAGGCCTTCGTCATCATCTGACCCTTCCTCCTCGATATCTTCTGCAACTTCCTACACACCAGGTGAGGAAGCAGGCATCCAGCAAATTGTCTCAGCTTCATCTTGCCAACCAAATATATCCAAATATGTGTTGTACCACACCACACCACAGCAGCAATGAATGCACATCAAACATGACAAGTGCTAATATCGCCCTGCGAAAAACGAAAGTTTGCGTACATATTGACATCTCCGCGTCCGTCTATCTCTCTTGAAGAAGCCAGCGGCGATTGAAGATCTCCCAACCTGCTTGTCTTCCTGAACTTCTTCCAGGGAATTCTCTCCTGAGGTAAACTCTGTAGATTGCAGCAGCTCTGAATTGCCATGAACACCAGTCACACCCAAACATTGCAGAGCTTGACTAAGAAATCCTCTACTTCAACATCAAACTTGAACTTGACCAAAATGCACACTTCTTTCCAAGAACAATGTCCAACTCAGGCCTTCGTCATCATCTGACCCTTCCTCCTCGATATCTTCTGCAGCTTCCTACACCGCAAATAAGGATGCGTGTATATGGGTCATATGGGTGCAATGTGTTCAAGATTGAGTGGATTACAAAGACCTCAGCAAGATTTGCAGGAACCTCCCCATTTAACAACACTGGCTAAATTGATGTATCTTGTACCAGCACCTGTCAAATGAACCGATCCAGCAAATTGTCTCAGCTTCATCTTGCCAACCAAATATATCCAAATATGTGTTGTACCACACCACACCACAGCAGCAATGAATGCACATCAAACATGACAAGTGCCAAGTCCAGTGTCGCCCTGCGAACTACGAAAGTGTGCGTACATATTGACATCTCCGCGTCCGTCTATCTCTCTTGAAGAAGCCAGCGGCGATTAAAGATCTCCCAACCTGCTTGTCTTCCTGAACTTCTTCAACGGAATTATCTCCTGAGGTAAACGCAGTATATAGATTGCAAAAGCCCTGAATTGCCATGAACACCAGTCACACCCAAACATTGCAGAGCTTGACTAAGAAATCCTCTGCTTCAACATCAAACTTGAACTTGACCAAAATGCACACTTCTTTCCAAGAACAATGTCCAACTCAGGCCTTCGTCATCATCTGACCCTTCCTCCTCGATATCTTCTGCAACTTCCTACACCGCAAATAAGGATGCGTGCATATGGGTCATATGGGTGCAATGTGTTCAAGATTGAGTGGATTACAAAGACCTCAGCAAGATTTGCGGGAACATCCCCATTTGAAAACACTTGCTAAATTGATGTATCTTGTACCAGCACCTGTCAAATGCCCCGATCCAGCAAATTGTCTCAGCTTCATCTTGCCGACCAAATATATCCAAATATGTGTTGTACCACACCACATCACAGCAGCAATGAATGCACATCAAACATGACAAGTGCTAAGTCCAGTGTCGCCCTGCGAACTACGAAAGTGTGCGTACATATTGACATCTCCGCGTCCGTCTATCTCTCTTGAAGAAGCCAGCGGCGATTGAAGATCTCCCAACCTGCTTGTCTTCCTGAACTTCTTCCAGGGAATTCTCTCCTGAGGTAAACTCTGTAGATTGCAGTAGCTCTGAATTGCCATGAACACCAGTCACACCCAAACATTGCAGAGCTTGACTAAGAAATCCTCTACTTCAACATCAAACTTGAACTTGACCAAAATGCACACTCTTCTTTCCAAGAACAATGTCCAACTCAGGCCTTCGTCATCATCTGACCCTTCCTCCTCGATATCTTCTGCAGCTTCCTACACCGCAAATAAGGATGCGTGCATATGGGTCATATGGGTGCAATGTGTTCAAGATTGAGTGGATTACAAAGACCTCAGCAAGATTTGCGGGAACATCCCCATTTGAAAACACTTGCTAAATTGATGTATCTTGTACCAGCACCTGTCAAATGAACCGATCCAGCAAATTGTCTCAGCTTCATCTTGCCAACTTAATATATCCAAATATGTGTTGTACCACACCACACCACAGCAGCAATGAATGCACATCAAACATGACAAGTGCTAAGTCCAGTGTCGCCCTGCGAAAAACGAAAGTGTGCGTACATATTGACATCTCCGCGTCCGTCTATCTCTCTTGAAGAAGCCAGCGGCGATTGAAGATCTCCCAACCTGCTTGTCTTCCTGAACTTCTTCCAGGGAACTCTCTCCTGAGGTAAACTCTGTAGATTGCAGTAGCTCTGAATTGCCATGAACACCAGTCACACCCAAACATTGCAGAGCTTGACTAAGAAATCCTCTACTTCAACATCAAACTTGAACTTGACCAAAATGCACACTCTTCTTTCCAAGAACAATGTCCAACTCAGGCCTTCGTCATCATCTGACCCTTCTTCCTCGATATCTTCTGCAACTTCCTACACCGCAAATAAGGATGCGTGCATATGGGTCATATGGGTGCAATGTGTTCAAGATTGAGTGGATTACAAAGACCTCAGCAAGATTTGCGGGAACATCCTCATTTGAAAACACTTGCTAAATTGATGTATCTTGTACCAGCACCTGTCAAATGCCCCGATCCAGCACATTGTCTACGAGTACCTTAGGGGCATATGCTCTATGAAGCAGCCAGTAATATTCATCTTCTGGGCCACAAAAGGTCACAATCGGTGAAACATACGCGGAGCGTCTAAAGAACAATGCCTTAATGATCCTTAATGCATCAATTTTGCATATGTTAAAGCTACACCATTATTTACCAGCTTTAGCAAAGCAAACTCAGGGTAGCGATTGACCAAGCCTTGAAGTGATGAATGCTATGTTACGTCTTTTGGAATGCACACAAAGAAGTAACGGAGACACAAACATCAGTCTCATCTTGCCCTCTGAATATGGGTGACACCACAGCAAATTTTATGTGTTGTAACTTGTAACCTAAAGCCACCAACACCAGCAGTGATACCGTCGCTGCAAGTGCCAGAATCACCTTGGTTCATCAAGTTCGTTATAGTTCATTGGCTGATGTGGTTCCAACAATGTGACCCACACTGGTATCCCCCAGGTTGAAAGACATGGAAAAAGGTGGACCCTCGGCTGGTTTTGGTGGACCGTTTGGAATTTACAGTGTTTGAGTTCGCCACACTCGGTGAAACCTGGTCATAAACAAACATAAACAAACATATGGGCGGCGTGCTCAGATTGAGGTGGACCTTAGCATAGCGTTTTCAAGGTTTTGGGCTCAGACCTACCTCTTTGATCGTGAGAAACCCAATCCCGTCGATGAAAGCAAACATCCACAAGTCGCCTCGCCTGCTCAGGGTTGGATTCTCTTTCGGCCTCCCTGGCTCCTAGTTCCGAACCCCTTGCGAGCTCCAAGGGTTAAGTACATGTTAAACATATCAATCTGAGAGAAATCCATACATCCTGACAAGTATGACACATGTCCTACCCGGCCTACCTATTGCCTACGAACGTGTCTTGCCGAACATGTCTCACGAACTGGACACCTGTTCTGATGCCCGATTGGCCATGTCCTTCACCGATTTGGCCTTCATCTGGCTGACTGACATCTATTACTACATCCTCGGCGAAGTTGCGATCATGTCTGTGCTCCCGGTGGAGAAAAATCGGTGGAACAGCGTGGAACCCGCAACCTGGGCGTCTGGCCGCGCGGGCTTCGTCAGCTTTGGTCTTCGTATCTTGCCTTGCCTGATTGCAGCAACTTGTTTCTTCCAACAAAAGTCAAATGGGTCGATCTCTCTTGCCTTTGCTACCACGGCAGTCTTGTAAGTGTCCCTCATTTTGAATGTCATCCAAAACTGACTGGCAGGCCTGCGCCGGAACCACGCTGGTAAGGTCCTGCGGATTCCGATTTTGGTACAGAAAATCACATTGAAATACACGACAAGTCTGCGCGTTCGGGCCTTGCCTCATCATCTTGTTTTGTGGGTGCGACTTGGGATCCTTTCGCTCTGCAACACTTGGCCTGTCAGTTCCAAAACAGCTCTGCACTGCAAGGCCTTCTGGAAATTGTGAGTTAACTGCTGAGGCCCTTGCAAACACACAGCCGCATACACAAATTGGGACGAAGAAGGCGAAAGCTGCGCCCGCCAAGGCCTGGGGCGACAGCAACGGAGCTGACGGACGGCAAGCAGCATTATGGGGTGATGGGTGACAAGGCTAGTCTTTTCTACTGTAAATGTCGAGGAAAAGCAGCAAGGCTGTTACAGAGCAAGTGAGCTGTGCTGGAAACCTTGATGGATTGATGGACCAAGCTCTTCAGTAAATGTGGGTTGAGAGGTTTACGGCGTGGCTCAAGTGATTTCGACGTCAACCCTGTAAACGTCCCATGCAGCACTGCAAAGCACGTCCCATGCACGATCTTCTTCGCACGGCAGGTGCAGCTTTGTGCCGGTTGCACACCATCCGACACAGCAAACGCGGCAAGGTAGGATTCCAAGTTTGGAGGATGGCACCACCCAAAGTGGCAGCGCCCGGAGCTTCAGCACGGGAACGTGGCGAGGCGCTGGGTGCGAGTCTGTCACAGGTAGCACACTTGAACTTGAGTTCCAAGTTGGCACAGCGTAGAGCACCCGACAGCATCCAGGTTCCAGGAATTCTGGTGTTAGTTCCGCCGGGCGACAACTGTGCAGCACTCCTGCCCTAGAAACACTGAATTCTGCTCTTGGGAAATATAGCCGGGGCTATAACTACGGTTTAGGGTGCACAAAAAATTGGAGACTCTTTATTAGGTCATCAGAGAAGTTAAGAAAACTACTTAACTAATATATATATATACATATGTGTGTGTTTCTTTTGGAGTGCCTGTTGAAAGTGGCAATGCCTCACTAGAAAATCAACTGCTGTGAGATGATGAACAACGACAAGCTGATGATCTTGTATGTTTTCTCCTGCTCAAAAAAGACTCAAAAGGATGTATGAAGAAAGTGTGCCGAAGAAAAATCCTGTGATGGTGGCTACGACAAGTATAAGTAGCCCGCATACTCTTTTGTGTGTCAAACAAATCCGTCATCTCAGCCACTGGCTGGGATCAATACACTTGCCTCACAGGCAGTGAGACCCGGATCGAGAACAAATTCCATGAAACACCCCGTGCTTTGCTTAAAACTGACGGACATTTTTGACTTTACTACTTACTGCAAGGCATCTCTTGCTGCAACCGTGGTGTTCCATAGCTTACCTCAAACCAAGTCACTTCGTCTGTCGCTTCCGGCGCTGTTTCCATGCTGTCCAGGCTAGCTTGTAATGTAGGAGCCTTAGTCGGACTTGATAAAGCTTTAGTCACTTGGGACTGCCTCAGAAAATGATCCCAGAATGAAAACCCTTGGCTGCGAGAACATTGAATCAACATGACACATCTCGCTGTGTTTAGTTAGTTGAGCCGTATTTCTATTGCGAGCAAATGACAATAGGTGCCACGATCCTTTTGCTTGTCGTTGTAGAAAGTGTCACCGTCCTTGCATTCTTTCAGAGTTGCTGGGCATCCCACTATTCTTTGGGGTTATATAAATAAGCAAGTTAACATAAATAAACTTGAATCCATACTGATTCTGATCTTGTCACTCCACTATTCCGTGCAATCAAAAAGAAAGCCTATAGAATTCTTATAAAGGGTGGCCTATTCCATGGCCATACGATTCTATAGGCTTTATAGGATTTGCAAGGACAAATAGAAAGCCTATATGCCTCTATATATATATAGAGAGAATCATATAGAACCTTATAGCCCATACGAGGGCGCACCAAACAAGTGACAAAAGTTCAACCATTTTTCTCAGCTGCCGAGTACTGGATGATGTACTGGACATGGATATCGCTGCTGAGTCTGTAGACGAAGTTCCCAAGTCCAATACATCAAAGGACGTGGTCCTAACATGTCCGAACCACCGATCGAAACTTGGTCAAACTTTCTTGGGGAAAGGAGTTGTTTGTTCTGTATATGTTCAGGCCTTTCTCAACTGCTTGCTGATTGGTTGAAAAGACATGGAGATGTATGTCTTCTGAATCTGAACCTCCTCGCCTATGTGGGTTTAGAAAAGAAACATTGAAGCAAGTCCTCTTCGATTGTTTCAGAAAGAACAACGTGAACTCGAGTGCATGCAAGATTGCCAACCTGCCAACTCCCGTCAAATTCAGCTCCTGGTACTGGATGATGAGTTCGACATCACCGTTGAGTCTGTGCTGGACAAAGTCGAGGTGATGAAGTCTGTAACTGTAGCTGAGGATGTGGTCCTGACACAAGTCAGATCGTGAAGTCACTTGCTCTTTGAACCAGGGAGTAGTTGTTTATATATTTGTTTTATAGTCATCACATCCATTCATATCCATTTGTGTTTTTCCGCCACCACAGACGCTGAAGAAGTATCTGTATCTGCGCGCAACTCTTGTTTTCGGCATTTTGACGGATGACACACAGGAGTTCGATAATGTTTATGCAACTGGGATGACTTCTAATCAAACACAGCAGTATACTCAGCAGTATATCATCAAAAGACTGTGTGCTTCCTAGATCAACGTGGATCAACTTGGGTAACAAATTCACTTAGCATTGCAAACACAAGGCACATCTTCAAGGCCTTCGGGACCTGTACCAGGTACATTGACCTTCTTAATCCTACAAGGAAGAAGGAGATCAGTGAACACTTGCGACAAGTTGTATGTCTTCTGAACCTTCGCCTGTTGTAAAATGCGGTTTTAGAACTTCAAATTGAAGCAAGTCCTCTTTGATTGGTTCAAAGTTCAGAAAGAACAACGTGAACTTGAGTCCATGCAAGATTGCCAACCTGCCAACTCATGTCAAAATCAGCTCCTGGTACTGGATGATGAGTTCGACATTACCGTTAAGTCTGTCGTGGACAAAGTCGAGGCGATGAACTCTGTAGCTGAGGATTTGGTCCTGAGACATGTCAAATTGCTGTGACCATTTACATAAATTTACACAATGAAATGGGTTCTGATATGTTCTGATTGGTATATGCTATATATGTTACTCCTTTCGTTGAGTCTTTGTTAAGTGGTCACCATATCCATCTGTATCAGTCTGGATCCAATTGTTTGCTTCCACAGTCTGGATCGTCCTTTCATGGGGACTCGTTCGAAGCGTTCGGAAAATGGTTCGACTCGGACTCGGAGTCGAATTCGTTCGTCCATACTGTGTTCGACTCGTTTGCAGTGCTAGTGCAACTGTGTCGTTCGTCTGTCTGTTTCCCCAAGAACGGCTGTTGCGAGGCACGTGCTGTTGCTGATAGCTGTCGGAAATGAGGTGGTGGTGGCGGTGCTGGTGGTGCTGATGTTGGAGATAGCGACCTCAGCGCAAGACGGGTATCAGGACAGTGCAAGTCACGAGACTAAGGACAGTGCAAGTACAGTCTCGCTTAGTCTTTGTGTTTGAAGATATATACGGCTTTGGAGTAGCTTCATGTCCAGAAATGTCCAGAATACTTACTTATTCATGTAACTGACAGCAGGTTGCTTCAATAAGCAAAAGTCGAAGCACTTCGGTGATGGTGATCGCGGCATCGATCCATCCTTGTCCAACCTCCCAGCAATAGGAGCGCCAAAGACCACGCTCCGGTGGAGTCAGATCCTCGACGTTGTAACGCGCGTGGTAAAAGCAAGTTCCATCCTGCGTCCGTGTTCGGCGCAGTTTTGTGCAGGTTTGCCAGCTTCTAGCAAGTGGCGTCAGTGTTGCCCTCTTGAAAAAAGAGGAGGTACTTTTGTTCTACAGGAACATGCGTGTGGCCTCTACGAGGAAGGGTGTTGAGATTGTTTGAGATTGTTTGTGTGTATGATCATATGTGATCATCCTGGAGAAAGATGGACATCCAAAAGAGAAGTCACTCGCTTCACCTTTCCGTTCACCCCATGTTGATAGACCCCATGGTGGGGATGCAATGTATGTAAATCTACTCCAGCACCTTTCTACGACCACCACGGTTGCCGGTTGCTTTCTACGGAGCGATCGGAGACTACTAGGAGCCTTGTCTGAAATGTGCTTCGCCTCTCCCTGCGATGTTCTACGACCTCCCCGTTCCATCTCTTTTGTTTGTCATGCTCTTGTGTTTCTTTTTCCACATCTGTCCTCTCTTTATATAATTCTACATCACTGTACATATTACGGTATATACATGTATTTACCTTTTGCAAGTCTTTCCATGTCTGTCCTTCTCCAATTTTGTCAATTGTCCTTTCTTGTTATTTCTCTTTCGCACTTGGGAAAGCTTCGGAACGACAATTGGAACATCCCTGATCAGTCTTGTTGTCTCGGAAGGCTCATCATACCTTTGACTTTGAGCACCTCGAAATCACCCAACCCCTGGATCTAGAACTTGTCACTGCCATGAAGCGTGGCAGAATCAGAGCATAGAATCAAACACCGTCTGCCATTTCCGCCGCAAAAAGGTCTCCTTGTGTTCCAGAAGCCTTCTTCTTTCATCCATCGTCATAAATGCCACAACATAAATGCCATAACATGCCATAACTAATATGTCATCGTCATCAAACCTGCAAAACACCAGCCTGTTCCAGCCCGGTTTTCCATGCTTTCCCCTCCTCATCCAGATCAGAGCTGGCCGTGGTTGTTGGTGCCGTGGAACCCAGAATCCAGCGGCCTTCGGTGGAGATGGAGCCGTCACCTCGGGGGAGGAGGAGTCACCCGAAGCATATGGGTCTGGATGCAAGCCCATGGCAGGTGATGTGCTTTGTTTCATGCTTTACCGGGGAAAGCCTTCTCAAAAAGAAAAGAGATCACATTAAATCTGTTAAGGTCAAGACTTCTACCATTCTTCAACTTTGGCCAGTTCTGGCCATTCAGAAATGCTACCTTAGCCCTCTGTATCTCAAAAACCTCAAGTGAGGGCCACTCCAACAGTCTGGGATTTCAGGAAATGTGTCGCTCGCATTTCCCACAACTGCCAGGAACCAAATCGAACATCGCACAATGCCGAGTCGTGCTACAAGATGCTACAAGTATTCTCTTTGTAATGTCAGCTGCTGTGCGTGCACTTCAAGGCTCAAAGTGTCAATGTGCATGTTATACATCCACAGTTGGAATTCTTCACCAGCTGATGAACCAGTTTACAGATTTCGAGTCACAATGCGGATCGTAGTACATGTAGTACTCATAGTCTTCGTGCTTGTAGTATGCCCGTCCAGAGACCGTTGACCCCTGGAAGGTCCACCGTCCATTGTGGCTGGCCGTCTCGTCATTGCAAGCGCCACTCAAGATGAGATCCGCCTGATGAGTCTGCTTTTTCAGCTGAGTCCGAGAGTCCCGAGTCCAACCCCTTTAAGTCATCGGACGACTTGGACGGCCCGATCGGTGCGACCGGAAGATCTGGAAGGACGACTGACTTGACTTACTTGACTCCTGGCGACTACTTGACTACTCGGACGCCTCACCTGATCGGTCGGAGTGTTTTTCACAGACTGGAAGAGTCTCGGAGCGAGACGGGAGCTCCCGTCTCGCGTCTCGCAGGAGCTCGGGGGTCCAAGTCGGATGACCAGCGTTTTGAGGGGCTCCAGCTGGCGCCAAGCTTGCACCAATACAATGATTACAATGGTGTATGTATAGTATACACATGCAAAAAAACTGCTTAGAGATGCTATAAATATATCGATAGCACCATGTTCGACCTCCTAGCTGACTGCGGAAGGGATGCAATGTGGTCTCGCAGGGATACGATCGAAAGGTCCCACCCAAGGGTGGTCAAGAGGAACATTTATGCAATCTTTTGTTCACGGAAAAGTATCTGAGAAGGTTCGGTTCTTGGGAATGTGTCAAGAGAGTTTACAAACGGCTAAAAATTTGAAAAATGAATGCACCAAAAACATCCAAAAACATACTGTAATCCTGCAAGAGGAGAGCCTTTCTCTATATGTTCTTCTCCAAAGAGAGTTCTGAGAGATGATCTGGAAGGAGAGATGCGGTAAGTGTGTATTTGTGGGTGTGGGCGGGCGGGCGGGCGGGCGGGTGGGTAACCTGCTAAATACATGCAGGAACGATTTACAGTACAGTAATTCATACCATCGGCCCATAGCCACTTGGATGGCATGGTCTTCCTGGGGACACACGAAGACCCATTGGGGTCCCTCCAAATCGGGTTTGGTCTTAGGGATCACTTACGAAGAACTAAACTAATACAGCTCCTCAACTCTCCCTGATTTCCATGGTGTGTGTCTGACAACCCTAAGCCTGAAGAACATTCAGGGTGACCTCTTGCAGTTGGCCAGCGGGGCTAACAACAACGAACATAGCCACCCAACAAAGAGGACGATGCCACCACTGATATCACCCGTCCGATGAACTCCACACCCTGGCCCAAGGGGGTCTATGTTCCTTCTTTCAGGGTGTTGCCTGGGAGGTCTCCCATGTCTTGAGCTACACAACCACATACACCCTGGAAGACTAACATGGAACCTGACAACCCCTGGTTGGTAGAGGAAAATAGTCTTCCATGCGACCATTGTCAGGGTCTATGTTAGTTTTCGGGAGTGTACTTCCTGAAATCTGAACTGTTGAAGAGATAGATCTGTAGCAGGCAATCATCTTCACTGCATGGTGAAATATTCACTCGGCCAGCGTGGTTGGCAATCGCTCACGTGGATTGATTTGTTGCATCCCTAGGGCTCCAACTACATCCTGAGGAGGTGGTTAGGGTGAGGGCCAGGGGGGTCTTACCACCTTCTGAGAATATGGTTGGAGCCCTACAACGGTATCTTGTAGTAGGTTGCTGAGGCCCATTTGGTCCACCTATTTATACGCACACATTATCATACATAATTACAGTATAGACAAAACATATGATAACAATGGATAACATAACAATTATGAAAAAAACATAGACTGATAGATACATCCGCATGTACAAGGATCAAAAGGGTATCGTTTGCATCCGTTTGCCACCACAAAGCCCCAGCGTTTTCTTCGGTCAAACCGCGGAGGCCGGAGGCCGAGCCAAAGCGACGTTCAACTCATCTTGGCAGTGCTTTGGACGTCTTCATCTTATGTAGAGATGTCTGTTTTCTGAAAAGAACTCCGAAACAAACATCTTGGGACATCGTGTCATCGGGATGTATTGTAATCCCTATCTATATAGTCTAAGACTTACATATATATATATATATATCTTTGGTAGATGGCGCTCTCCTCCAACTTGGAGTTGCGCCACTTATTTTTGACACTGTATCCAAATCATTCCAAATCTGATATTTCTTGCAATTGGGATGTTCAGACCCCTTTCCCCGTTTCGCACCCATCTGATTCTCCCTTCGCAAAAATACCGTTTAACCGTGTCTCATGCCGGTCATCGGACCTTCATGTCCTGTCATGTTGTCTCAGTTATCCTTCCCCAGTCATTCAACGCACCAGTTTAACCAGTCCTTTAGCAACGCTCTACTTAAACCCGTCCTTTAGACTTGCTGGGTTCCTTCCATCTGCTGTCACATGTCTGCTGTCACATGTCGTGCGGAAAGCGGGTCACACGGTGCACCACACAGGGAGCTCCGGTCGTTTTGGGCTGCGGGCGGGTAGTTCCACCCTCGAAATCCCTCGGAAATAAATCAGCGCTACATCTCCCTCCGGACCAAAAAAGTGTGTCCATTCAAAGGGCATGCATCATGTTGTGGGTGTCCATTCTTGCTGACACAGCTGAAATGTAAAGGCAAACATTCAGGGCACACGGAGGTTGCAGCCTTCTGCTACTTCCAGACTCCAAAGCAGCTTGCTCAGCAATTGCGCGCCCAATCAGTAAGTTTACGTTTGTGCCACACGTTTCATATGTTGAACTCCTCACCAACTAGCAACCCAATTATCCCAATATCCAATTGTTCAGTGCCAAGAAATGCGACAAGTCAGAGCAAATGCACATAGTGCAAAGGACTCTACCAGCCTGCGTGGCTGAATTTGTGCTGCGCATCGTCGTCGTGGTAGTGGAAGTTCCGGATGTCGCGGTTGTGGACATCATGATAGAGGACGCGGAACTTGTGATAGATGTCATACTTGTAGACGCCGTGATAGAGGTCGTGGGACTTGTGCTAGGCGTCGTAGTTGTGGACGTCCTGACAAAGGTCGTGGAACTTGTGCCGGATATCGTGCTTGAAGACATCATAACAGAGGTCGTAAAACTTGTGCTGGACGTCATGGTTGCAAACGCCGTGACAGAAGTTGTGGAACTTGCGCTGGACGTCGTGGCTGTAAACGTTGTGGCAAAGGTTGTGGAACTTGTGCTGAACGTGGTGCTTGTGTACGTCGTCATAGAGGTCGTGGAACTCGTGCTGGACGTCGTGGTGGTGGACGTCGTGACAGAGGTTGTGGAACCTGTGCTGGACATCGTGATAGAGGTTGCGGTACTTGTGCTCGATGTGGTGCTTGAGGAAGTCGTGATGGAGGTTGTGGAACTTGTGCTGGATGTGGTGCTTGTGGATGTCGTGATAGAGGTCGTGGAACTCGTGCTGGGTTTGGTGCTGCTGGAAGTCGTGATGGAGGTCCTGGAACTCGTGCTGGATGTGGTGCTTGAGGAAGTCGTGATAAAGGTCGTGGAACTCGTGCGGGATGAGCTGCTTGACGAAGTCGTGATAGAGGTCGTGGAACTTGTGCTGGACGTGGTGATTGTGGAAGTCGTGATAGAGGTCGTGGAACTCATGCTAGATGTGGTGCTTGTGGAAGTTGTGATAGAGGTCGCAGAACTTGTGCGGGATTTGGTGCTTGACGAAATCGTGGTAGAGGTTGTGGAACTTGTGCTCGATGCAGTGCTTGAGGAAGTCGTGATAGAGGTCGTGGAACTCGTGCTAGATGTGGTGCTTGTGGAAGTTGCGATAGAGGTCGCAGAACTTGTGCGGGATTTGGTGCTTGACGAAATCGTGGTGGAGGTTGTGGAACTCATGCTGGATGCGGTGCTTGAGGAAGTCGTGGTAGTAGTCGTGGAACTCGTGCTGGACGTGGTGCTTGTGGAAGTCGTGATAGAGGTCGTGGAACTGGTGCTGGATGTGGTGCTTGTGGAAGTCATGATAGAGGTCGTGGAACTTGTGCTGGATGTGGTGCGTGTGGAAGTCGTGATAGAGGTTGTCGAACTTGTGCTGGATGGCATGCTTGAGGAAGTCGTGGTAGTAGCCGTGGAACTTGTGCTGGACGTGGTGCTTCTGGATGTCGTGATAGAGGTCATGGAACTTGTGGTGGATGTGCTGCTTGTGGATGTTGTGATAGAGGTCATGGAACTTGTGCTGGACGTGGTGCTTGTGGAAGTCGTGATAGAGGTCGCGGAACTTGTGCTGGA